GCCAAATATAGTAAAATTGCTTTTTTAGTTTTTCACCCTGAAGTCAGTAATCCAAAAATTATTTAAAAAATTCAGTGAAATGTGCTTAGAGAAGAAGTATGGGCATAAAGTTAAAGAGGAAATTCTGTAGATTCAAGTTTTTGGTGCAGACGGACTGGTAAGTATTGAAAATGTCCTTTTAAAATTGTATCCTTGAAATTTCGCAATATCTGTTTTTGAAAAATATATATGTTAAGGACTTATATAAGCTCCAATTTCGTCCTTCTAACTTTATCGGCTTAAAAAATTACCTATTCGTCCTTGTGAATCCAACAAATTTTAATTTTTCTAAATTCTAAAGAAATTTCCTCTTGCATTTGGTACCCATGTTTTTATTCTACATTGCATAGATAATAATTTTTGGAATTAATCATAATTTTGAAATTGCAAAGTCCTTTAAAATAAATCCTAATGTCAGAGAGAAAAAATAAAAACGCCACTTTAAATAAAAAAGTAACACCCCTATTGCGAATGTCGACTGGCAGTAGATAAACGACTATTAAGCGATTATCGATTATCGATGCTATTGCGAGTGTCGCTTAGTCGCTCAATTAGCGACTGTGAATACTTTTTAATCGCTCATCCTTCTATTGCTGTTTTTTAGTCGTTGGAGTTTGCGTTTATAAAATTTACATAAGAAAGTGGTACTATAATGGATAAAAAGTAAGTCAATTGAACTGGAAGTTGTAAAAAATTGTGAAATATACATATGCATGTATGTGTCTGAATTACAGATCAAAAATTATAAGCAACAAAAGGCAACTTGCGCGGTTGGTCGTACTGATGCAGGAGAGTGAAGACATAGGCAAAGGAATTTCCGGAAAGAGTAGGGTAGGAAGCTCCGCTTTTATTGGAAAAGATACATATACAATGGCCCTTATTATGAGCTGCATTCGATTTTCGATCTTCGCTGGCTATCGAAGATCGAAGATCGAAAGTGGAATTCGTATTATGAGCTATGCAAGCGTGTCGAAATTTTCGTTGAGTATCGAATTTTCTGTCGAACAGAATTTTGCTTTCGATGGTGTAGCGAAGTGTTAGAAAATTGTGAAAAATGTATGATTTTGTATATGTTTTCTTACATTTTGGCGGCTAGACATTAATTTTAAACAATTTTTATTAATTTCATGCAGTTCTAACATCTTGAATACTAAACACAAGCTCGAAAGGCTGGTTTTACTTATGAAAGAAAATCTCAATACTCTGTTGGCACGATCTCTGAGAACAAAATCGTAGCGCTGTTGATAGTTTTAAAATATTTTAAATAGATTTGGCTCACAAACGCCTCTTTAGATGGTCGGAACTTTTTAATGAATCTGTAGACAAATTTCTTAAATATATTTTATATCAAAATATATTCGAAAGACTAATAAACTTAAACTCTCTTAAACATTTGCTACCCCTGGCCAGTTTACTAAGCTCTCATCCTCTGACGAATCGTTGAACCAGAACTCGTTGTACTCATTTTACCACGTTTTTATAAACTTGCTTTCTTTTTTACTTCATTTTAATTAGAACAAATTTACATAAATATGTATAACTATTTAGTTTGCTCGATTTGTAAACAAAGCTTCTCAGCGGTGAAAAATATACTATTGTGAACAACCTAAACGAGCGAAATTCACAATAGCGCTATTCTTCATCGAATGAGTGCCATAATACCAAATGCAAATTCGTTCGCTCAGCACTTTCGACCACAGTCGAAAATCGAATGCAAATCATAATAGGGGCCAATATTTCTTGTGTTTTTGCGCAGAACCAACATCAAAAGTTTATACAAAAAAACTGCATAATTTATTAATTGATTAGGGCTCGGAAATTTGAAATCTTTATTTTAAATTAAAGTTGAATTCTTTCAATACACTTGTTATGTTGTTATGTTAAAGTTTTTAAACTCGGGTCACGCATTTGGACACAAAAACCCAACATCATTGTACAAAAAACTTAACCGTACCGTATTTCTTAAACTTCCATAAAGTTTATTAATGAGGAAAACAGCTTTTCCTGCAAATCATGTAAAGCCTAAAAACCGTGAATCATCGGGAACGCAACTTTTGTTCATAAAACTCACACATGTACTTACACCTTCCAAGTCCAAGGGATCCGACGAATCTCGCAATTCCCTCCTTGCTTTAGCCAACTCTACTAATCTATTAGCTTCCGCATCATCTTCCTCATCACTAAACCATATTTCAACTGTGTCCATTTTTTAAATTTAATAATAAAAGCAATTATTTTAAAAATGATGTAAATAAAACACTCAAGAAACAAATGTAAACAAACAAACAGCTGTTTACAATTCTGTCAACCATTCACAATAGTACAAATTTTTATCGATCAAGTTACACAATAGCAAAATAAAAGATGATCGACTCGATCGACAAATTTCTATTCTACTGCCAGTCGACACTCGCAATAGGGGTGTAAGTTTCAAACCCATTTATTTATTTTATTTTTTATGGTAGGAGAGCTTCTCAAACAATATAGAAGCAATTTTTTCGATTTAAGTTGTGGAAAAGTAATGAATATCTAAATCCCGGGACTAATCCCGGGATTGTAATAACGACATCCCGAAAATCCCGGGATCGGAAAAAGCTGAAAAATTAACAACCCTAGTACATACATACATACATAAATTCATAAATATGTGTATCAAATACAAGTACCTATGAATATGTATGTTTAGACATGCTTATTTTTAATACAATATCCATTACCCAGCATAATTCGGGGAATTAAGGCATCTGATGCATTCATCTGTATCTATATACATAAGTAAGTATACATATATGCATGTACGTGTGTATATTAAATATAGAAAATTAAGCTTACCATCACGACTCATTCCAACTGCAATACATTTTTTCAGCCGACAATACTGACAACGATTACGATTTATGCGTAAAATGCTGCATTGCTGATTTTTTGTACAAGGACGATATTGAATTTTTTGTTGAATGGATCGTCGGAAAAATCCCTGCAATTATTGAAGTAAGTAATTAGTCAATTAATAAACAAACGTAGTGCATATCAAATGATACAAGCTTAAAAACTATTCTTAAAGCGGGAACTATGTACATACATATTGGCCGTGTATAGCAATCAAAAAAAGCGGATATAAAATCGTCTTGAATAAATGTATCATTTGATTTTATTGACAACATAATATGTACATAAATTATCTGAATTTTAAGTACCACAAATGTATGAAAATGAGATAAAAAAGAAAAAATAAATAAATAAAAATAAATAGGGATATTGAAACAATAATGTAGATATTTGCCATTTTCTAACTAATTTGAACAACGTACATCAGGGTTGGCCGTATCACTGGCTGTCTTTCCCAATGTAGAGTCATGACATGAAATATTTTTCAAGCATGAATGTATTGATTCGTCATTTGGACTGCAGTCGGTTCCAGCCTCAGTGGAAAATTTTATGAAAGTTTCTAAGTTTTCATCGAATCTCTGACAAAGATCATTCATAGTCGATTGTTCACTTTGCGTTTGTTTTTGTGATCTGCAGTGAACCTCGCACAGTTCATCGTCACAGCCCGATTCGTTGTCCTGCAAATTAGAATCCCTACATTGACAAGATGAAGGATTTCCACTATCGTCTTCTTGTTGCTTCAACTGCTGCGGAGTACAAGTGCAAAAAGTAGGTATAACATATGTGGATGATTGACTGCTTGAATTGCTTAAGAGGGAAGAATTGCTATCGGAACTGTCTCGTCGATTTTGCTGAAATTGTTGCTGTTGCTGTTGCTGTTGCTGGAGAATTACAGTGATCTCTTTTTGCGTATGTTCAGACAAAATACATTCAGATCTAGCTACTACTTCATCAAATATCAGCTTTGAGGTGGCCCCTTCCGTTTTCACATCATTCGTTCCTAATTTTTCAGACGCTACTGTTTGCGTCTGATGTTCAGCGCTAAATGATTCTGGTTCTTTTCCTTTTTGAAGCTGTTCTCGTTGCTTCCATTCTCTGGCAAAACGAATTTTTTTCCAGGGGCAGTGGTATTGTTCATAGCAGTCACTATTTTTGCCGAAATCTCCCGCTTCATCTTGTGTAACCGTCATTTTATTAAAAGCAGCTGTCTTTGCTATAGTTCCCCTAACTTTTTTTTT